CTACCTTCCCAAAAGCGAGAGAAAGATGAGAGGAGAGTGCATGGAATGTCGAGGAGAATGGTGGAAAATAGAGGAAAGTTGCTTGGGGGCGTACACGAAGACTGGTAGATGAGCGCCTCCCTTCCTGAAGCTGCCTCTATAACGGTCACGCGGATTGCGACTCCATAGGTCAAAAAACTAGAAAGAGAGAAAGAAAGGGTAGGAAGGCGGGAGATAGGAAGAGAGGAAGGGAGGCAGGTAATGTAGAAGTGAGACAGTAATTGAGTAGATATGCCAGGGAGTCTCAAACGATGTGGCAAAAGTCGAGCATCCAACTGTCGTGAAAGGCAATCTCGACAAATCAAAGGGCCGATGGGTTCATATCTCAACAACACAACAATAATCTTCAATCTAGCAAGCAGAGTAGATATTACAGCCCAAGACGCCGAAGTCGACTCACCGCTCCACCCTCTGGCGCCTGCCGCCCCTGCCCCCTGCACTTCCATCCCCTTCTACGTCTCCTCCCCCCACGCCTCCTCCACAGCCACTGGCGGAAAAGGTAGTGGTCACTACCGCCGCCCCCGGGCCCAAGCGTAGGATGGTACGATGTTCGTGATGGTTCTGCCACTCTTGACAGACCAGCGGACCTTCGCCCGAGAAGAGAGGGATGCTATGACGCTCTTCGAAAATGTGGAAGTGGAGACGGTACCTGTAATAGGAAAGAAATGGAAAGATAGCGATAGAAGATGAGAGAAGGAAAAGAGATAGGGAGAAAGGCGGGGAGGGAAAAAGAGGAAAGAAGCGTAGGAGGGAGGAAGAACTTCTTGTCTGGTTGCGCTGCGCTCGCCACTGCAGACAGCATCTGACTAGTAACACTGTTGGTCAACTACTCTTCGCCCTTGGTTATAAAACGGGAATGGAAACACTCGCATGTCTCCTTTGCTGGGTTATAAAACGGGAATGGAAACACTCGCATGTCTCCTTTGCTGCATCCCTCTTCTTTCCTCCCTTCCTCCTTCTCCGTTGATGACTTCCCCTTGTCTCTCTGCATCACGCCGGTACACTTGTGCCTGTACTCCTTCCCTGTTATTCCGCTCTGACTTTTCCCTTCGTCTCCTCCTTTGGCTTTTCTTGTCCGCATTTTCCCTCTCCCTCTCTGCTGTGTAGGCTCTCTCCTCTCCTCTTACCTTGCCGACCACTGAGGGGTCACTAGGCACAGGCCCGGGTTTACGATCGCTCTTCCGCGCCGCAGGCATAACTCATGGAAGGAATGGGTGCCATGAAAACGCCACGAGGGATACAATCCTAGAGAAGCAGAACCGTTGGCGCTGGGCCCTTCAAGCGACGACCGGCACATGGAGGGAGAGAGGGAGGGGAGGAGGGAGGGAGAAAGGCTTTGGGTCACAGGCCAGAGGGCGAGGACAACAGGCTCCCATAGCTCGTCCGCGGTTGCCACCACCGACCAGCGCAAAGCGACAGCTCGAATGTCGCCTAGCTGAACGCGGATTTCTTTGTGTGAAAGGTTGTGAAATGCATGGCTGACATGGCCACCTGCTGGGTCCGTAGTCTCCCGCGCTCCGCCGGTAAGGTAGGATATAACATTAATGAGCACAGAGTCCGGTAAGGAGCCGATGGAGATACTGGTAGGAAGGGGTGCGTGGGAATTGTGGGCGCAGGTGGGTCTTTGACAGTCGTCTCGAGGTGTTGGGTGCACAAATGATGCGGATGGATGAGGCGAGGGAGCAACGCGGAGAGAGAGGGCTCCCATCATTCGCGATGCGGATGTCATGCTCTCATTTGTTTGATTTGTGCAACGACCATCCTTATTATCTGCATTACGGCATGGGAATGAAGTCGAGGCGAAAGATATCAGGTCCTGTAGAGTTGAGCAGGACTCAAGCAGCGTGGCAACATCGGCTATCGGTATCGTCTGTGCTTCGATAGAAGTGCGCAAGGCATGTCCTTGAAGTGTGTATAGAAGACACGTGACCTGAAGAGAGGCTAGTAGATCCTTGTAGCATTGTGTAACCGGTTTGAGTGCTGCTACAGCGGGGTCATTAAGGGGGGGCAGGATTGGTTGATGCGACATCCGAAGTGAAACTCGCTACTTTTCGGGGTACTTACGCGTCCTATAACCACAGATAGGTAGAGGGGAAAAATAATATTAGCTTCAAAGCAACCTGTCAGCCCGTATGCAAACGTGAAACCGCCTGATTAGTTTTTCGGAGGGGCGGCAGACATGTTAGCAGCACCGAGAAACGAAGAAGGATGATGACGTACTACTTCCAGGCAACGGCCCCGGAGGTGGATTAAGCCGGTCACTCATGAATTCAATAAAGTGCAACCACACGGCCACAACTCGATGAGCTGAACCATGGATTGGAAAGTTGCTTCAATTTTCATTGGAGAGGCCTCGATGTCCGAGTTTGAGATGCATTTAAAGTTGATTTCTACCTCTTTTTTATACCATGATCTGCATCCATCTCGCCCATTTTTCCTGCCCAATTCTTATTTGCGTTACACATTATCAATCGATGAGGTAGGACCCAGGATTTCAAACCATGATTCTTCAAGCTAGCTCTGTTACACTCCTTTGGTGCTCTTTGTTTTGCCTGCTGGTACTTTGCTGTGCTGTCCAGGGATGTTGGGATGTTTGTACGTCCATTCCAGCCAGTGGGCCAGGCCGACGGGAAAGAGACAGGAATGAAGAGACTAGAAGAAGAAACTGCGATAAAAAACAAGGCAAAAATCGGTGCGACGACAAGGAAAACCTGTTATCCAGGTAAGTGGGATGGAATTGCCTAATTAGTGATAGTTTGCCTCAAGAGTGTTCAAATTTCAGCCTGGCCCGCTTCCTCATGGTAGGGACAGGAGCAACTCCGCTACCTCGGACACCACAACGTTCTCTCCGACATGTTCTACCCCTTCTTCTTCTTCGGATCCATCGAAAGCACCCAAAAAGAGCGACGCGTCTCCTTCGGTGACCACCAGGGGCGCTTCCGTGTCAGACGCAGGACCTGCCTCGACACCCCCCGTTCCTGTGTACACTCACGCTCTCTGGTGGCGACAAGGCTTGGGATGCCTCCAAATTGTCTTTCACCTCACCCTTTTGACATACGGTCTATGCGTGCGCCCCTCCTATAGCTTGGAGGTGCCCGGAAAGGCCGAGAGGAATGGAGGGACGGAAGAAGCCGTCGGGCACGGTGCGGCGGCTCTGGTCTGGTGTTTCCTGGTAGGCGCAGAGGAATGGGTGGCTAGGAAGGGAGGTCAGAGCAGGGGAACCGAAGGAGGGACGGAAGCAAAGCCGAAAGTGCCACTGTGGGGCGGAGCCGTCTATGTCTTGGCGGTGGTGGCGTCGGCGTGGCCCTTGGTGGCGGCCGGGGGTGACGGCGAGGTGGGAGACGTGCGACGGTAAGGGATGTTTATTGAGGTTGCAGTCCCTCCACTTTCGGTTTGCCTTTTCCTGACAGGGGCTTTTGTCTCTTTGTTCTCATTTTGTTCGCCATGAATGTTGAGCTTTCCCGGTCTTTCAGCTTTCACTTTTGACGCGTCGTAACCGTCGACCATGCTCTTTATCCCTCCTTCTCTCCTCCCTTCTTCGCAGCCTCTTCTCCTACGTCTCAACCTGGAACGTGCTTCTCCTCCTCTTCGTCCTCCTCCCCCTCGTCGTGCACGCTGCGCTTTACCCTCTTTCCCTCCCTCCCTCCCTCACGGCCTCGCCTCTTTCCCCCTTCCCCCCCGAGGGACGCGCCTCCCTCCTCTCCTATACTCTTTTCACCTGGTTCGAACCCGTGATTCGCAAGGGGTGGTGTCGAGATTTAAACATGGAGGATATGCCGCCCTTTCTGCCCGATGACAGCAGTGCCCTCGTCTCGCGTCGATTCGCTCCGTTGGTCGAGAAGGAAGGAGTGGTGGAGGGCGGGGTGCAATGTCGTCCTCCCTGGCCTCCCCTCCCTCGCTCCCTCCCTCTTCCTCCCTACACATCCTCTGCTCTTGACGAGATGGGAAAGGATAGCTTGCATACGCCTTTGTTGCCGTCTTCCCCTTCCCGGCACCCCGCCCTCCCTCCCTTCTCCCCTTCCTCGAAAAGGAAAAGATGGAAAGGCTTCTCCGTTACCCTCCTCCTCTTTCAGCTGGCGCGTGGGAAGGTGGTCGTACAGGCGGTATGGCAGTTGTTGGGCTCGCTCGCCGTCTTTATCGCCCCCCTTGCGCTTCGGAAGATCGTTGCCTACGTCAGCCAGGACCGACCAGAAGGTATGGAGGGTTCGAAGTGGTCGAGACAGTGAGGGAAGGAGGGAGAGCGGGAAGAAGGCGAGGGATGGATGGGAATGGAAAGATGGAGATAAGGAAAGGGGGAATCATATGCTTCACGCAATCCATGTCACCACCATTCCGAATATAATTCGGCATCCTCCTACCCTGTATCTATTTTCCTTCAGAGTCACAGGTCATCCCTATTCCGATTCTGGTGGCCACTGCTCTCCTCTTCCTCGGTCCAGCCCTACAGGCTGTCTCCGATGGCCAAAATTTTTTCATGGTAAATACAAGATGAGGCGAACGCGGCAGTTATAGTATGAAGTTCTGGCTCTGTGATCGCTTTCATCTATCTACCTTCCTGCGCACTATCTCCTTTTCTGCCAATGCCGCCGACTCCACACACATGCTTGCCTTATACCCATGTCTCAATCTCAGGTCTTTTTCCGGTGGTCCGTTTTCCTCCATCCTTTTTGTCTTCTCTTAGGGCCGGCGCCTGATCGTCCGTTACAGAGCCGCCCTTGTCGATCTGATTTTTCGGAAAGCACTCAGACTCAACCTCTCGGCGAGCAGCTATTCGGTCGGGGAACTTACTAATTTGTGCAGCGTGGATGCCAACAGGTAAAGGACGAGGAGAAAAGAGGAAGGACAAGGGATGGGCTTCTTGTCGGCTGTACCAGAGCGAAGCACACAGGGTTGTGCATTAGTAATATGAGACAGGCCAGGAGGAAGAAATAGTGGAAGGGAGGGAGAGAATGGGACGAAGATAGGAACATGAAGCTAAATCTTTACAGAGTGAGACACTGCTGTAGTTGCAGCGAAGAGAATGTAGGGGAAGATACAAGGGGAGAGAGGAAGGGGCAGAGAGCAGGACATCTCTCACCAAGATGCTCTGACGGGCCTCCTTTCCTCCCGTTCCCTTTCTCATATCTCCCAAGCGTGGAGGCCGTCGGCTACATTCATTTCCTCTGGTCAACAATCCTGCAGATTGTCGTCTCGGTAGCCTTGCTTTTCAATGTTCTGGGAGCTTCCGCCTTTGCGGGCCTGGGGTTTATGGTCATCAGGTGTGTGGCGGGTCCTACGCGTCTTTCGTTGCGCTGTTTTCATGCATGATCTTTCCTTCCCCTGTCAATCTCCTTGGGTTTCTCGTCAACTTGTTTCTCTCACCTTTTGTATTTACTTATTGCACTCTCTCTACCTCCTTATCTTTCCCTCTCCCCCTCCCTCCCTCCCTCCCTCCCTTCATATCAGCCTTCCTATAACCGCTTGGGCCTCCCAGCGAATCCAGGTCTATCAGACTCGAATGATGGGGAAGAAAGACGCCCGTATGTCTGTCATGAACGAGATCTTGCAAGGTGAGCGAGAGAGGGGAGAGGAGGGACACGGGAAGTATGCGTCGATCGCTTTTTGGGTGCCATGGCATGTTGGAGGAAGGTCTTCTTGAGGAGCGCGGAAAGGACCGAAAAAGATCCGGGATGAGGCAAGGGGGGGATTGGATGGCTGTAAGCTGCGCAAAGACGAAGGACCGGACATATTTCCGAGTGCTGACTTGCTCTCTCTGGGGACTTCTTTTGAACGTGTCCTCTACCTCGCAGGCATGCGCATTCTGAAGATGTGTGCGTGGGAGGACGAATTCTTCCGGCGGGTGACAAGAGCCCGCGAGGACGAAGTGAGGGAGCTACGGTGTTTCGTTTACACCCGGGCAGTCATCATCGTCACTTGGGTGAGGGTTTCGGGTGGAGAGAGGAAGGAGAGACTCGAACAACATGGTTTTTTCCGTGTGCCACGCTGCTTACCTCCGCCGCCGATTGTTTGCCCCCACATTGCTGTATATTCAATGTCATCAACGTACCAGTGTCACCATGCTCAAATCGCCATTACCTTTCCTGCTTCCTCCCACTATGAAAGGACGCTACTCCAACTCTGGTTGCCCTCTTCACTTTCATTTTCCATACCCTCGTTCTCGGCCGGCCCCTCACCAGCAGCGATGGCTTCTCCGCCTTGTCCCTCTTTGATCTGCTTCGGTTTCCACTGGTACAGTGCTGTTTGATGCCAGTTTTGAAGTGTCGGTTTCATCGTGGTTCTTGTTCTTGGAGTGAAGAGTCTATTTTGAGACGACCTCTCTGGTGGTGTTGTCCCTCAATCCTCACTAGGCCTTCTCTTGCACGTGTACCTTGGCTGGCACTCGAAGTGTATGGTAGGAGAACCCTTTTCTCCCGTTTCATGTGGCCTTTACCGTAATAGTGCACGTCAGGATTCATGCATTCTCTTCCTTTTCTCCCGTTTCGTATGGCCTTTACCGTAATAGTGCGCATCAGGATTCATGCATTCTCTTTGCTGCACATGCGTAACCCATAGAAATGTTCTCCTCAACGCCCTCCAATTCTCCGTGATCAGGTGGTACTTCCCGATTTCATCAACTATTGCAACAAAGCTCTCGTTTCCTTTGACCGCATTGAGACTTTCTTGACACGGCCAGAGGTGGCACCCCCACCTTCTCCGCTCCCTGCTTCTCCTTCGTCCTCCGCCGTCTCGTCTGCCCTTCCTCGTGGGGCTATTGCTATCGATCACGCTTCGTTTAAATGGGGAAGTCCGCAGTCGATGAAGGAGCATGAAAAGAGGGAGGACAGGGTTCCAACAGCCCCAACGCTTCAAGGTATGGAGTTCTCCTTCTTATTTCCTCCACCGAGCCTTCTGTTTCCTCCCTCCCTCCTTCCTCCCCCTGGAACCCCTTTACTTATCGGCGAACCAAACCATCCAGACCCCGAAATGTCCGAAATCAAATTACCCGACAACCCTAAGCCTAACGTTTACACCCTCGCCTCCGTCATCACTCCCTCTCTCAAGACGTGACTCTCTCTGTCCCTCCTGGCAACTTGCTCTGCGTGTACGGTCCAACGGGGGGGGGGAAGACCTCTCTTCTCCTTTCCCTGCTGGGGGAGATCCCTCGGCTCTCGGGCCGGGCTTCCCTTCAAGGACAAGTGGCTTATGTTGCGCAGAAAGGTGAGGATCGTTCTCCGTGATCATTTTCTCCTTGCAATTCCTTTTATGCCACTTTCCCTGATCCTTTCTTGGATCTCTCTTATTTGAAGTGACCGATCACTCCTCGCCCTCTGACTCCTTGAAGTTCGCTTTTCTCGTACTACCTGTGGCATATATTTAATTGCTCTCATGTTTTCCTTCCCCCCCTCTTTACTCTGCACCCTCTTTTCCCCCTCTTCGCCTTCCTCTTTTATTGTAAACAAATTTCCATGCCTCTTCCCTTACTCTTTTTTTCTTTTTTTACTGGACTTTCTCTCTAATTATTCCCTTCTTTTCTCGCCCCTATCTCGACAGCCTGGATCCGGAACGCGACAGTGAAAGAAAATATCCTGTTCGGCCTCCCTTTCCACGCGACTGACTATGAGCGCGCTATTGACGCCTGTGCTCTTTGCAGGGACATAGAGGGATGGCCTGCAGGTCAGTGATACCTTTTGTGTTGTTTAATCATTGAACCATAGAACGTCGAGGCTTTTTAAGTTGGGTTGAAAATGCAGTGCACCGAATTTGTCGAGCCCCCTTTCCGACTAGAATTGGGATTGGGAAGGTGCTTGCTTGTGTTATGACTCCTTCTCTCTTTGATCCAGTCAGCCGCCTCCCTCTTTGCTCTTCTCCTTCGTTTGTCTTCTCCGTCATCTTAGCTTCTCTCTCGTCTTTTTCCTTCTGCCTTCCCTGCCTCCCTTTAAGGCGACGCTACAGAGATCGGAGAGAGGGGTGTCAATCTGAGCGGAGGCCAACAACAGCGAGTCAATCTCGCCCGAGCTGCATACGCTGCGCTTCAGGGAACGGCTGATATCATACTGTTGGACGATGTCTTGTCAGGTGAGATCCATTTCTCACTTTTTTAGAACCTTTTTCTCGGCTTTTTATCTCCATGCCTCCTTCCTAGTAGCCTCCTGTTCCATTTGTCTTCCTGCACATTGTATCCCCTCTGCTGAAAACTCGCTTTTCCCTACCCTTTCTCCCTCTTTCCCTCCCTTCATCGTCCTTATAGCTGTGGATGCCCATGTGGGGGAGCATATTCTCCACCAATGTCTCGCTGGGCCGAAGGCAGTGATGGCGGGTCGTACCCGTGTTTTGGTTACCCATCAGGTACTGCTCTTTCGCCTCCTCCCATGATTTTTAGATCCCCCAAACCCCCCTCCGTCCTCTGTTCCTCCGTCCCTCCTTCGCAACTGTCGTCCGCTACCTGTGTTGATATCTTTTGGTGTCTACTCCAGTGAGGGGGTCATGTCGGGGTGGGCCTGCCTCAGTGTTGCGGGTCTGACCGGGTCCTCTCAACCTCTCTCCCTTCCCTTCTGGTCCTTCTTTGACCCTACTCCCTCTCTCAGGTCAGCTCGACCCTCCCTTTCGCGGATTACATCGTCATCTTGACCAAGGATGGTCGAGTGGCAGCGCAAGGAAAGAGGGAAGAAGTCTGTAAGGAGGGAGGGAAGGAGGGAGGGAGAGAGCTACTGGCAAGGTACGGGGTAATGGACGAGAAGGAGGATCGCAGGGAGGAGGATGATGAGGACGATGAGGGATGGAGAGAGGAAGAGTTAGAGATGGGAAAAGAGAAACTTGGGAAGGAGGGATTAAGCGTGGACCAAAACGGCAGCGGGAGAGGGGCCTTGGTATCAAATCCTGGGAAGGCGTCTCAGATCTGGGCGGAAGGGAGTGGGGAGGAAGGGGGAGATGTTCAGTTGAAAGCAACGGTGGAGCGCGGGGAGAGTCAGAAACCGAAAGTAGGCGTGAAGAAAGAGCGCTTGGCCGTAGCAAAGGGGCAAGGGGAGGGAGTACAGGAAGGGAAAGAGAGCGGGACGGAGGGCGTGTTGGTCTTAGAGGAGGAGCGCGAAGAAGGAGCGCTCAAGTGGACGACCTACCTTGCTTACTTCTCGGCCATGGGTGGCCTCCTTCCCGGCTTCTTCCTCTTTGCCCTCTATCTGGGTGTGGAGCTCTTGCGCTTCCTTCAAAACCGGAGCCTGGGTCAGTGGGTGGACCGGCTGGCCGCCTCCGCCTCCTCCCCCTCCACCTTGCAGTACGCCCTCCCCTTCCTCCTCATCTCCCTCGGCAACACCACCCTCATCCTTCTTCGGATCTCGCTGCAGGCGTGGGCGAGTCTACGAGCTTCTCTTAAAATCCACGCCGCCATGGCAGCCCGAGTGCTTCGAGCGCCGCTTCACTGGTTCGACAGGACGCCTATTGGAAGGGTAAGGGCAGGGGAGGGGGAAGAGGGGTAGTGGGAAGAAAAGAAGGAGGGAAGTATAGAGAGCGTAAGGAAGACCAGCGTGGCACTTGAGGGGTGACAAGCATGGTGGGGCCTTTTTTGTAGGACGTGAGAGGAGAGTGAAGGGAAGGGAGTGTTGAAAGACGTGTTCTGAAGCTCTGTATCGTCCGTTTCTCGTTGAAACAGTGACAGATAACAGAGACGCGCATGCATGACATGGTTCTCCTCTTATTACTCTTAATAAGCATCTGCCATTCTTTCAATATCCCGGCCATGGGCTGTGCGTCAATCTGATCCACTATTCACCCCATCATTACCACCACCACCATCTGACCCGGCCAGGTTCTGAACCGGTTCTCCAGCGATGTGGAAACGATAGACAAGAATTTGATGGACTCTCTAGGTAGGCAATGCGGAGAGGAGGGTCGAAAGCAGGAAGTAAGGAGCAAGAGAGTAATGAAGGCGGAGGACGCGTCGTGTAAGCAGATTGACTGCTCCTGTCTAACTCACCTGCCGTCTTCTCTTACAATGTTCCCCCTCCGCTCCTTCTCTTCCTTCCTCTCATTTATCTCTCTCAGCTTCCTTTGTAGAGTGCTCCTTGAACGCCGTCGCCGTTGTCGCAGTCATCGCCTACCAGCTTCCCGTTCTCCTCTTGGGACTCGCCCCTCTTCTCCTTGTGGCCGGCGTTGTTGCGCGCATGTATCTTAGGTCGTCCCGTGCCATGAAGCGATTGGAAAGCAACAGGTAAGAGACAGGGCAGTGCCTTTTAAGAAAGATAGCACGGTAGTCAAGAGGGCGCAAGGGAGATTTCAGGGAGGGACCGTTCGACCCCAAAAAATGCGCTGGAGTGGATTGTGTGGCATGGAAGCATACTTTTTCTTCTTACCTCGCCGTCTTTGTCTTCCTTTCCCTTTTTATTTCCCTTCCCCATCCCTACTCTCGAGTCGCTCGCCCATTTACAGCCATTTCGCGGAGACTGTCTCAGGCGTCATCACCATTCGTGCTTACGGAGCCCAAGATCGCTTTGTGGACGAGAACCACGACAAGGTGCGTCATCCTAATCGCCTACTTTTCTCTTCGTCCTGTTCCTTTCCAGCATTATCCTCCTCGTCTTTTTCCTCTTTCCTCCCTTCCACCGCCCTCGATGCGTCGCTTCCCTCACTTTTTTCCTTACCTCTACTCCTTCCCTCTATCCGGTCTGCCTGTCCCTCCAGGTCGATGCCTACGGGCGCGTGAACTTCTTCCTCTGGACGTCAAATCGCTGGCTCGCCGTCCGACTACAGCTCCTGGGGGCCACTGTCACCGGGATGGTGGGCATCTACATTCTTGCCTCCCTCCCAACCTCCTCCTCTTCCCCCTCCTCCACATCCGTTTCGAGTGCGGAGGCTGGATTAGTCCTGCTCTATGCCATGCAGTTCTCTTCCGCTTTGAACTGGTTGATCCGAGATCAGGCAGAAATGGGTGCGTAAGAGGGAAGGGGCATGGAGGAATTATGTCCGTGAGTTGTTTTTCTATTATTGATGGAAATTTGATTAATCTGCATATAAATTCCTTAAATCTTCTATCCGCATGCTACCTCTTAACCGCTTTTCCGAAGTTTATGAAATGAATATACATAACAATTCTTCCCCTGAAGCCGCCCCAACATCCCCTGTGTTCCTATCTACTAATCCCCCTTCCTGTCTGACTCTTATTGCACCAGAGATGAACATGAACGCGGTGGAGCGCACAGATGCCTACTGTCATCTCGAGCAAGAAGCCCCCCCTGTTCTGCCTGGTTCTGGAACCCCCCCGCCCTCTTGGCCTTCGCAGGGGGAGATCTCCGTACGATGCTTGACTCTTGCTTATCCCTCCGCCCCGACTGCTCCTGTGTTGCGGTCTCTCAGCTTTCACATCCCTCCCGGCACTCGTGTTGGCGTAGTAGGAAGGACGGGGGCGGGGAAATCCTCCCTTTTGGCAGCATTTTACAGACTGGTGGAGCCGGCAGAAGGAAGCGAAGTCGTAATCGACGGGGTGAACACGCGGCATTTGGGTTTGAAGGATTTGAGAGGGCGTCTGGCGATTGTTCCACAGGAGGTGAGACTGAAACCTTGAACGAATAAGGCACGGGGTACTAGTGTTCATTCGTGGTACAAGTGTTCGTGTGGTGTTCTGCTCTATAATCCCCCGTGCATGCCGTTTTTGAAGTGTGTCTATCATAAGAGACTGACTAGAGGCTTAATATTGATGGGAACAGCATCTACCGACTTTTTAAATCTGATGCTCTGTCCCTGAAACTGTGTCATGAGGGTCTTCTGATTCTTTTTCTACATCCCTTTCCTATGGCCTGCCCCTCGTAGCCCACGCTCTTCCGCGGTACTATCCGCAGCAACCTGGACCCTTTTAACGAGTATACAGATGCAGCAATGTGCGATTCTCTTCGTCGCGCACATTTCTGGGAGGCGCTGGAGCGGAAGAGCGGTCAAGACAACATTAAAGGAGCTGAAAGCGGTGTATTGGCTATGCCCGTCACGGAGAACGGGGAGAATCTAAGCGTGGGGGAGCGGCAACTCATGTGTTTGGCGCGCGCTTTGCTCAGGAAGCGAGGCGTTTTGTTTCTGGACGAGGCCTCCGCTAACGTGGACGCGGTCACCGACAACTTGCTGCAAGAGACTTTGCCCGACCAGTGCAAGGGGTGCACGGTCGTATGCGTGGCCCATCGACTCGCGACAATTGTGACTTACGATCGAGTCCTGGTGCTGGACGCAGGTATTTGCGCCGAGTACGATTCCCCCGCCGCGCTTTTGGCAAAAGGACCGTCAGGCTTATTTTACAGCATGTGTGCTAAGACTGGCGAGTTGTCGAATTTAATGGCCATGGCAAGAGGAGAGAAGAATGGACGAGGAAGTCTGGAAACGCTACCTGACCACTGTTGAATTCGATGACAAAAATGAGAGAGCTGAAATGTAAAGAAGCTCTGGCCACAGATAGAAGCATAGGACAATAGACACAAAGTCCCCTAATTGAACGTATACACGAGTCACCATAGAACAAAAGCATATATTGGGATCTTTTTGATCAGTAAGGCATGCTGCCTGAATTGATGGCTCCGACGTCTTAATTCTCCCCCGCCCTCTTTCGAAGCACTTTATCTTGCGTACTGGTTCGCATGTCAAAGGCGCCCTGTTTTCTTGTACAGCTGGATTTAAGATCTTACGCTACACCACGAAGTAAGAAAAAACTTTTGAGAGGGAAACATTTTGAAAAGGGAAGATGTAAGGTTTGATGTTTTTACTCGGAGTCCCAAATTCTATACGAAGTCAAACGCGCAATTTTTTTTAAAATGAGGTAATGTGATCAAGACGACTTTGACGTGACCTCAACCCTCAAAATGGAATACGAAATGAAAACACAGGAAGGACTGAACCACCAATTAGCTGTATGTGGTGCTGAAAAATGTAAAAAATCTTCCTTCTTTACAAAGTGGCGTAATTTTCACGTCTAGAAGGACGCACATACGTTGTCTACCGTGCCAAAGAAAATATCATATGACTTGTACTGGAGAGTTTCCGGGGATGGAAGGACTCCGACAAAGTACATTGGGACGATACAGTACAGAAAAAATCAAAAAGCTCATATGACAGATTTGTCGTATGGGAACTCACATTCCTTTCCGAGCTTCAGTACGGTCATACACGTAACGTCTCATCGAGCTCGATGACTAGGACAGGAAGAGTGTTTTATCACCAAATGGTTCAACCATAGCGGGCGCGTCCTCCTCTCTCCTTTGGTAGGACCCTTACCCTCTCACTGAGGCCGAGGTGATACCTAAAGATGGGAAAAAAATGAAATGACTACGTTATATGTTTGCTTATGGTACACTTTTAATGCTGACAAGGCCTGCACTCTGCTGACGAGGCAGGAGCTCGACCACGGAATGACGTCAGCGCATGCTCCATATGATCCATGCGTCCCGCGAGATGATTGACTATTTCCCAGTATCCAGCACGCATGTTTTTTGTTTTAAAAATCACTCTGCGGCGAATTTTTGGTCAGCATAAGATTTCAATTTACTTGAATTGGTAATAAATATGATGCTAGGAAAGCAGGTATGACTCATCATGTATATTTTTGCCTTATAACAAATAGTTTACCTGTTCTCGCCTTCCCGTGTTGCTCTTACTCGAGCACCTGATTATTTTCATGCGGGCTAGATCCTGTAAAACCAGAAGGCGTACATGATAGAATCTCATACATTAAGTATGAAGAGCTTGTGAACTCACCTGCCCGGAAAATCACACCATAGTACACAAGGAAACCCGGTATGAAAAACGTCCACTGACATAAGCATCCTGAAGAAAATGCGTTCCGACATTGCGACAATCACATTTGCATTCTTATGCACGTTACTACTTTTCAATCAAGTATATGCACGCACAATTCGTATTGGCAATGTTTACGGTAAGATTAGGGTAATTTTTAGCACTGCAGCCATCCTTTTGATGCCTACATTATCAAGAGGGAAACGATTCCTTAACCTTGTTTTTACCAATTTTCTTCTCAAGTAAATTTTTATAGTGAGATTAAATAAATTATCCTCTTCTTTCCTTTGCACCATGCCTGTAGATAAAGGCACAGCTGACAAGAGCTCACAGGACGATCAGGATCGACTTCTACGAAAACGTCAGCTTGCCTCTGCCTTGGAGCATGAGTCGGAGGACGAAAAGATCATTGGTGAGCCTTCCGCCGCCGCTTATTGGCAAATTGTAGGAGAGAATAAAGGCCTAATGACGCGGGAGGACGGGAAAGACAAGAAGGGCAGTACCCCTCTTGGCCATCACTCCTTGAATGAAGGAATTAGAGACGATGCCGCAATCAGCCCTCAGGCAGCTGAGGAGAGCAATGATATTCCCACTACCCAAGCAATAAATGAACAGACTTCAAAGGACTCTCTGAAAGCTACAGCAGCATCAACTGAGAATAGCAAACCTTTAATCTCAGTAGGGCGCGAATGGGCTTTCAGGGGAAAGAGAGACGGAAAAAACGTAGAAAGCAGTAGCTTTACGCCTCTGGACATTGAGAAAAGCGCAGAGCCGCCTATAGACGGACGAACACAAGAAAGCGCAGGTATGAAGAACGAGAGCGAAGCTACGATGGCGGTTGCCGCATCAGAAGAAGGCAAGGTAGCGACACCGCTGGGACACGAAAGGAGCTTCAAAAATGGTCAAAAAATATGAAAGTGACATTCCAATAGACTATGATTGGACTACTTAACGCATAATTATTCCGCCTCCTGGCCATGGAGTGAAGTTGAAAGGGAATTTTGAAAGGTTTCGACAGAAAGGAAGCATAAAAGGAGAAGGCGTATGACAAGGGAAACATGAAGCTGGAAGGTAACAAAATTGAGGGAACAGATAGAGATCAGACCTCAGACATGTAATTTAGGCTATATGATCGAATGTGGGCTTTCTAGAGACTGCTATTTCAAAGTAATAGTATTTACGACGACTGATGTCATGCTCTTTAGAGGAGGTAACGTCGTGTTGAAGGAAAAAGAGGAAACTGAATCTTCTTTGGCTATGGGATGAAAAAATCTCGCCAATTGAATATCGCAAAGTAGAGCATATAGTGAAGATATTTTTTATATTGCAATAGTTCAGCCTTTCTCTGGACAAGCGGAAGGACGGACAGGGCTGACGGAACCTGTCGAGGAATTTTAAAAACAAACGGCTCGGGTAAAATTGGACGACATTTCAAAATAGGAAAATCTTTGCCCGCAAAGTTGAAGTAGGAACAGGTGGTGTACACTAAGTCTTATCTTCAAAAGTGGATTCCAGGAATGCTACTTCAGGAGTGCGTCAATTTTATAGCGGGATTTCGTTTTTTTAAAGCTGCCGTACATTCTAGATCCAGCTCAGTAATATATGTGATGGAGTTAATAATTATTTGTCGTAGTTTTGCCGAGGTGTCATGAAAATACCGAGCCTCAGAAGCGTTGCTTCTCTTGAAGTTGCCCTTTCATAGCACTTCGTCCTTGTTATGCTGCTATGTTGAGACAAGTATGCATCAGACTCAACGTTGTATTTTACGCACTCTCTGTATAGCACGGACCATAAGGGCTTGCTCCAAGTGTGTAATTTTGGGCGAGCTTTTTAAGGTTCGATTGCAGTTGTTCTTTCGTCTTAATGAAGGCATCCTTATTCTTTTGTTTCTCCTATTTTACGTAGCTCTTCTCTACACTGCCTTAAAATCTTGCCTAACCTTACATATTTAATAGCTGAAATATCTGAAGTTTTCGATTTTCCCTCCGAGCCGCGTGAGGATTGAAATGCGCTGCTTAGACAGATCACGTACTCTAGGTCTAGCAGCGTTCCTTCTCATTTTATTCCGGTATGGTCATGCACAGCGTCTACGCGTGGCAGTGTTAAGCGACGCAAAAGGTTCGTCGATGTTAAATTAGAATGTACGCACATTATCGCATGGTAGAGCGTTGAAGCCCGTCTAGAAACTAACTTCAGCCTTGTTCGTACGTTGACGTTCAATTTCGTCTGCATGGAATTTCATTCGCCCGCACATTATGTGCAGATGAAAGCAGTAGCTTACGATCTTGGAATCAGCAGCTTCCTTCGGTGTCCACAGGGCCTGATAAGGAAAGCACTCCTGTTGGCCATGGATGGGCGTATGGAGAGGGCAGAAAAAATGAAAATGAAATAGAAACAGCAGCATTTTTTGAAAAAAATGAGAAGATGGCCTTTCCAACGCAGAAAAGTCGAGCTGATAGTGCTAATGTACTCGCAGCAGACCCACTAGCATTGCGTAGTGGCAAGAATGACAACATTGACGGGCTTCAAGGTCACGATCCGGCACTTACAGGCGCTGAAAAGGACGACGCCTCCGTCGAGACGGTGGAAGGAAAACGCGCCGCACTTGTTGGCCGTCAGTGGCCCATGGTTTCACCTTCCATGTCTGTGGTGGAACCGACGGAGAAAGGAGATAAGGTGACGACCCCCGTGGGGCGTGGATGGGCGTATGGGGAGGGAAGAAAATCGGCCACGGTTACTAGTGAAGCAGCAGCCGTGGTGCCTCCGGAAGAACAAAAGATTAAAACACCTGTGGGCCGCGGATGGGCCTTTGGAGAGGGAGAGCAGTGAGATACGCAGATCCACGTATGCGGGTGGGCACACTTCATTTTTATTGTGCAAGCTTAAGTGGTGGATATTCGCTTTTTAAATGGCTCGTTGGTTTTTTAAAGGGAGGAAATCGATACACAGAATGAGATGGGGTATGGGTAAGAAGACGTGCTTACGGCAAAAGAAATAACTGAAATGAAATGTGAAGAGACCGTAACAGAATTCAAAAGGGAGAGTGCAAACAGCAGTGAGGGAGATGGCCAACAAAGGCCGTGCAGAGTGAAAAGAAAGCCAGAAAGCGTATTGATCACAAGTGCGAGAGGCAAACTGAACTCCAAGACAACCCCATCTTCCACCCTGCAATGAGACGGTGGAGAGGAAAGAGACAATACTGGCGCACAACAAGGCATTGAACGCGTGATCTATAAGAAAGTGGAACTGCGAGTAAGGTAGACGTACAACTGCAACAAAGGCAAGGAAGGAATACGTAATGAAAAATATCACACCAATCTTTTTTGTCACTTTTCTGTCCCGTGTTATTCTTGAAAAATCACGCGCAAGAAAGCGTTGACGCGCACAGGTGTAACTTGTGTAAAGACACCCCACCACTACCGATTGTGCATGCTACGTGTCACAGAAATCAAACTTCTTTTGTGCATCCTTCTCAGCCCCCTTCATGGAAAATCCTCGATCCCTGAGCGGGGCTTTGCCATGACTGAGTCTATGTCTTTTTGTACATATGTTCCACGCCGGATGACATGCAATAAGACGGGACGGTAACGCTTGTCAAGGACTTGCAAGATGAATGGACACTCATCACCTTTGCTAACTTTCATTTTCAAAAACTAGTCACCGCATCTGTCCAACTTTTTCTTAATGAGTACCCCGTCGTTTCCCGTTTATCTTAAATAGTCATATAACGGTTCCTTAAGAATGACTTAATACTCTTTCATGTAATTTTTCAGTCACAGTAGGTCTGAATTATTAAGGTGATTCCTCAACAGATGTTCTCACGTCCTTACGAGATCCGTCCCGACCCCCGTATGCCCATCCACGAGACAGCGGGGCCTTGTCTCCTTCCTCGACCGCAACCACCTTCACGTCCTCCTCTACCGCCACTTCTGTCGCATCCTTGCGAGATCCGTCCCGTCCGCCGTATGCCCATCCACGAGACAGCGGGGCCTTGTCTCCCTCCTCGACCGCAACCTCCTTCACGTCCTCCTCTACCACCACATCTGTCGCATCCTTGCGAGATCCGTCACGTCCGCCGTATGCCCATCCACGAGACAGCGGGGCCTTGTCTCCCTCCTCGACCGCAACCACCTTCACGTCCTCCACTACCACCACATCTGTCGCATCCTTGCGAGATCCGTCCCGACCCCCGTATGCCCATCCACGAGACAGCGGGGCCTTGTCTCCCTCCTCGACCGCAACCTC